CTATCGTCGGTGTTGCATAGCCCCGAGAGAGGGTCGCTTACCCGCACTAATTGGTTGTAATTGCATTTAATAAAATATAGGTTAATGTTGAACTTGTAAAGAGTTAATTCTGCATTGTAAAGTTAAATGCATAGTAATAACCTTAGGTTAAACTGGAAAATTTATGGTCATCACAACTCATTAAAGTAATTCCGCATTAAATGTACAGTAATAGTCTTAGGTTAAATAAGAAAATTTAGGGTCGTCACAACTCATTAAGGTAATTCTGCATTAAATGTAAAACTAAATGTACAGTAATACCCTTAGGTTAAATAGGGAAGTTTAGGGTCGTCACAACTCATTAAAGTAATTCCGCATTAAATGTACAGTAATAGTCTTAGGTTAAATAAGGAAATTTAGGGTTGTCACAACTCATTAAAGTAATTCCGCATTAAATGTAAAGCTAAATGTACAGTAATACCCTTAGGTTAAATAAGAAAATTTAGGGTCGTCACAACTCATTAAAGTAATTCCGCATTGAATGTATAGTAATACCCTTAGATTAAATAGGAAAATCTAGGGTCGTCACAACTCATTAAAATAATTCTGCATTAAATGTACGGTAATAGTCTTAGGTTAAATAAGGAAATTTATGGTCGTCACAACTCATTAGAGCAATTCTGCATTAAATGTAAAATTAAAAGTATAGTAATGATCTTAGATTAAATAGAAAAATTTAAGGTCGTTACATATGATGAGGTCGAGTATGAACCGACAATACCCATCATTCATTACTGTAGTAATGCAAGCTAACTAAGTCTAAAGAACAGAAAAATTAGTTTACTTAGAGATGAGATATAATCTGCAACACGAAAACTCGATGAACAACTTCTAACTCTGATTATATCTATGACAAGCAAGAGAATCACTTAGAACTTCGAGACCTCCCTAAAAGTTTAGATAGGTATAGATCTTAGACCTTAGACCTGAACTTTGTAAAGCTTAGAGAAAAACCCGTGGTAAGTTACTAGGACTAAATGCGATGAAAGCCTATAAGTACGTTGATTACCTGGTGAAACAAAGGGGTGTAAAAGTAGCTTACATCATCCGTTACAACAAGTAGCTTACATCATCATCCGACAATACTTTGTCTAAAAAAAAGAAGAAAACAATGGGTAGCAATATATAAACTCACCATCTCCACTTAACCTTTTCCAACCAAAAACATAGAAGTTTGATAAACAATGGTGCTCCATCAAAACATCCATGTTCTCATGACCACACTTGCCTTACAAGGCCATCTAAACCCTATGCTTAAGTTCGCTAAAATCCTCGTCACAAAAGGCATTCATGTTACCATTGCCACCACCGAGCTAGCCCGACACAACATTCTCAAACACACTACAACAGCACCAGCCACTAACGACGATGCCGATGCCGATGCCACCATGCCATCAATCAAACTCGAGTTCTTCTCGGACGGACTCGACGTTGACTTCAACCGTCAAAGTAACTATGACTATTGGGTCGAAACACTAGAAACCGAAGGCAGAAAAAACTTTTCAAATCTCGTCACGAAATTATCCGAACGCACAAAATTCTCGTGCCTAATCATCCACCAATTTGTGCCTTGGTTCATACCGGTCGCGAAAGAAAACAACCTCCCTTGCGTCGCGCTTTGGATCCAGCCATGTGCTCTCTACTCTATCTATTACCATTTCTTCAACAAACTCAACGATTTCGCCATTTTACAAAACTCGAATGAGACTCTCCAATTACCCGGTATGCCGTTACTCAACTTCGACGACATCCCTACCTTCATCTTCCCCAACGCTCACCTCGCCATCCAAAAGGTCCTCTCTGATTTTTTCGCCTTTTTGGGTGATGTGAAGTGGGTCTTGGGGGCTTCCTTTTACGAGCTGGAGGAGGAGGTTGTGGAGTCCATACGCGGGGTTGTTCGGCCGATGCTTTATCCTATCGGTCCATTAGTGTCGCCGTTTTTATTTGGGAAGGAGAAGGAGGAGGAGGAGGAGGAAGAGAGGGACTTTGGGCTGAGCGTAGACATGTGGAAGGCGGATGATTCTTGCTTGCAATGGCTCGATGGGCAGGATTTAGGGTCGGTTGTTTATGTGTCCTTTGGGAGTGTTGTTGTTTTGTCTCAGGACCAAATGGACAATGTTGCTAATGGGTTGTTGATGAGTGGCAAGCCATTTCTTTGGGTGTTCAAACGGCCCTCGTCGGAGAAGGAATCTACCGATGGTACTGTTCGGCTGCCGGATGGCTTTCTTGAGGCTGCTGGCCGGAGGGGGATGGTCGTCAATTGGTGCTCTCAAGAAAAGGTTTGTTTAATATCTTCTTTTTTTTATTTACAAATGTTAAGTGTGTTCGGTGACAATTACCAAATAGTTCAAAAGTGTATAATTTCATACTGTTATGGAAAGTCATTCTCTTTTGTACTTAGGTTCTGAAGCACAAAGCAGTAGGTTGCTTCATGACTCATTGCGGGTGGAACTCAACGCTAGAGACGGTGGTGGCCAGGGTTCCGGTGATAGCATTTCCGGAGTGGGCGGATCAACCTACGAATGCTAGATTGTTGACGGATGTTTTCAAGATGGGTGTGAGAATAAGGAAGGGAGATGAGGGAATTGTTAGTTCAAAAGAGGTGGAGAGATGCATATGGGAGATGACCGACGGCCCGAACGCGACGGCAATGGCGAAAAGGGCGGGTGAGCTGATGGAGGCAGGCAAAAGAGCGGTGGAGGACGGTGGTTCTTCTCATCGAAATCTTGATCTTTTTATAGCTGACATTGTTGGCAAAAAGGACACGACATAAGTGCATGCAAATCTTGAGATTGCATCAACATGCATGTTTTTTTTTTTTTTTATCTACAATAGTCATCTGAGAATAAAAAGAAATGCCAACTCAAAAATTTTGAAAGAACCTATCATCATCAGTATCTCAATTTCAATTCAAACATGAATTTAGAATCAAATTTAAATAATAAAATTAATATGAAATTAATATATAACTATTCATGTGAGAAAGTTTAATCATCACTTACCTATCACATTTCTCAATTTCTCAATTAATAATTAATGATTAATTTTAGTTTAATGACTATTCAAAATCATTTATCAAATATTGGACTAAATGCATCCATTTAAGACTTAAAAGATATTAAATACATATTAAATATTAATTTCTAAATTTATTATAAAATCTTAGAATTTCATTTTTATTTTTTAATAAAAATTTCATTTATCAAATATTGTACTTTTCTTCGAGACTTAGATGGAAGTTCTTAATATGGTAGTTCTTAATATGGTGGAATACCTCCGCGTAGGTCAATGTTACAAATTTCGAGGGATAAGTCAAGCCAATCTCAGAAAGTTAAAATGGTCAAGGGTCGATAATGATAAATATCGAAGCTTTATGTAAAATGGTCCAGGGTCGATAATGATGAATCTAAAAGACAGATATGGATCACATGTAGAAGTCGAATATTGGCATCATTTTGGGATGGTAAAGACAAACCAGGTGGGTTCTTCAAATTGTGAATAAGGCAGTTAAATAAAGCTCTGTGGCGTGGTGTAACTGTGTATCATAAAGTTAATTTAAAGCTCTTTTTGTTTTGTTTTGTTTTAGAGCTTACTCCTAATAATTATTGTTCAAACAAATTACTATTTTTCAAAGTCAATTGCATGCACTTGTCCACTACATTTATAATTATATATGTTAAAGTAATAAAAATATATTTCATAAAAAGAAAGTTTATTAAAATCTAAAAAGTCAATAACCAGTCATGTTTCAGAAGCCTCAATCCCTCCTCCACACTCATCTATGAGAACTATTCAACTCGGTTGTGGTTGGGGAATGCAAAGACATACAACATGAATGAGACCTATCATTTTAGAATCATATTCCCTTAGGTGACTATCCTAATCGAGTCATCGGATGTGTATTACTACTCTACACATTGTCCATACGTGCGAATATGGACCCACCAGACAATTTGCATGCCTCCTAAGCCTCATACTAGTCGGGCTAGCATTTCTAGTGCTGTCGTTGGACACCTAGAAGGAGTAGTGACCGTTGTAGTATCATGTTAAACATGAAGGTCATTTTCCTTTTCATAGTGTACGCGTTCGTACTCATCATAAGAGAAAAATATCTCGATGCATGTGACAGATGATTATGCATGACGTCCCAACATTTTTACATTAATTAAATCATGTAAACAACCCTTTTAATTTTTCTTTCATATCATATCATTTTAAGGCTGGAGTTGTGCATCATATCAAAACACTTTGTTACATATCAGTCATGCCATACATCTATCATATCATGTCATGCAACACATCATAATCTTCGATATACCGTATAGTTCAAAATATCATATCATTCAACATATAGTATAGTTCAACATGTCACATCATAACATGTCTCATATCATCGATTATCTCATATCATAAATATCTCATACGTATCAAATATATGACACGTGCAAAGCCACGGACACGTGTCACCATACATAAAACAAAATTCTAACTATGCCAATAGTAAGATCATTTACTTGGAGGGCCTTGGCCAACGTTCTATCTTATACTCAAATGCACTTGATTTTGTCCTTCGAAGTTTGTTCCAAGGTCCCAAGAGCATAATTGCATGTGTTTGCATTAGCATGATCCCTATAGTGGGGTCAGTTACTGAATATTCTTCCAAATACTCAAATCCTGTGTCAGTTACTGAGTATTCTTTCAAATATTCAAATCCTGTGCCATATCATTTTTCAGGGAAAGGCAAGACACCCATGTACGAATGACAGTTGAATTTTTAAATTTCTAGTCTTAGGTTATAATAGATCGTTTGCGTTTCATTATTTAAATTATTTCATTTGTAATTGTTTTTGTTTTAATTTATTTTTTAGAATTTTAAAGTGTTCTTAAAAAAAGAAAAAAACTAGCAATATATAAACTCATCATCTCTCCTTAACCATTTCCAACCCTTACATAGAAATTTCAGAAACAATGGCGCTCCATCAAAACATCCATGTTCTCATGGCCACACCAGCCGTACATAGCCATCTAAACCCCATGCTCAAGTTAGCCAAATGCCTCATCACAAAAGGCATTCACGTTACCATCGCCACCACCGAGCCAGCCCGCCACAGCATGCTCAAACACACTACAACCGCCGATGCCAACGCTACCAACCCGTCAATCCAATTCGAGTTCTTCTCCGACGGACTCGACCTCGACTTCGACCGTCACAGTAACTACGACTATTGGATCGACGTCGTAAGAACCAAAGGCTGCAAAAACTTATCAGACCTCATTGTCAAATTATCCCAACGCACAAAATTCTCTTGCCTAATCCTCCACCAATTCAATCCTTTTTTCATACCCGTCGCCAAACAAAACAACCTCCCTTGCGTTGTGCTTTGGATCCATCCTTGTGCCCTCTACTCTATCTATTACCATTTCTTCAACAAACTCGACGATTTCACCATTTTACAAAACCCGAACGAGGCTCTCCGATTACCCGGTTTGCCGTTACTCGACTTCGACGACCTCCCTTCCTTCATCCTCCCCAAGGCTCATCCCAGCCTCCAAAAACTCATCTCTGATTTTTTCACCTTTTTGGGCGACGTGAAGTGGATTCTTGGGGATTCCTTTTACGAGCTGGAGGAGGAGGTTTTGGAGTCCATGAGCGGGGTTGTTCGGCCGATGGTTTTTCCGATCGGGCCGTTGGTGTCGCCGTTTTTATTGGGGAAGGAGGAGGAGGAGAAGAAGGAAGAGAGGGACTATGGGTTGAGCGTAGACATGTGGGTGGCGGATGATTCTTGCTTGCAATGGCTCGATGGGCAGGATTTAGGGTCGGTTGTTTATGTGTCGTTTGGGAGTCTTATTGTTTTGTCTCAGGAGAAAATTGACAATATTGCTAACGGGTTGTGGATGAGTGGGAAGCCATTTCTTTGGGTGTTAAAGCGACCGTCGCCGGAGGAGTCTACTGTTCGACTACCGGATGGGTTTCTCGAGGCTACTAGCGGGAGAAGGCTCGTCGTGAATTGGTGCCCTCAAGAACAGGTTTGTTTAACATTGTTGAGAATTGTTGGGAGTGTGTCCCACATTAGCTAATTTAGAGAATGATCATCAATTTATAAGTGAGGGAATACATCTCCATTAGTACGAGGTATTTAGAGAAGCCCAAAGTAAAGCTTCCTAATATGGTATCATAGTCATGCCCTAAACTTAGCCATGTCAATAGAATCCTCAAATATCAAACAAAGAATTGTGAACCTCGAAGGTGTAGTCAAAGTGACTAAAGTGAGGGCTTCAGAGAAAGGAGTCGAGCTTCGATTAAGGGGAGGATTGTTGATGATTTCCGGGAGTGAGTCCCATATTGGCTAATTTAGGGAATGATCACGGGTTTATAACAAATATGTCATCAAAAGTAAAGCCATGAGAGCTTATGCTCAAATTAGACAATATCATACATTACTCGTGATTCTGAATGCACGTCTTGTTTTTTATTTAGAAATGTTAGTGTTTTGTTTGGTATATAACTTTTTTTCTTGGAAATGAAGGCTAATAAATTATGACTTGATGAAGGGAATATTTAGTGTTTTGTACGTGTATTCTTAACAAGGTTCTCAAGCACAAAGCGGTTGGTTGCTTCCTAACTCATTGTGGGTGGAGCTCAACGCTAGAGACGGTGGTTGCCGGAGTTCCAGTGATAGCACTTCCGGAGTGGACGGATCAACCTACGAATGCCAAATTGTTGACGGATGTTTTCAAGATGGGTGTGAGGATGAGGAAGGGAGATGGTGGAATTGTTAGTTCAAAAGAGGTGGAGAGATGCATATGGGAGATGACCGATGGCCCGAACGCGACGGCAATGGCGAAAAGGGCGGCTGAGCTGATGGAGGCGGGCAAAAGAGCGGTGGAGGACGGTGGTTCTTCTCACCGGAATCTTGATCTGTTTATAGCTGACATTGTTGGCAAAAATGTGACGGCGGAAGTGCATGCAAACGCTGAGATTGCATGAACATGCATTTTTTTTTCTTTTTTTTGCGAAATAAGAAAATACCCCACATGAACCCTAAACCCAAAAAACACTTTCTAACGACTCCAGGTCGACATTTCGGTTGATCCGACTTGGATCTGATATGCTCGAACCCTTTTCTTCTTGTTTCAACTCTTCGAAAGTGTGTAAGGTTAGCATGACTACTTTCCGCTCGTTTAAATTTTTTGAGTCAAATTTAAATTACTAGAAATTAGTTTAAATTATTTTATGTAAAAGGAGGAATAAATTATTTATGCAAAATTAGACTTAGTTTAAATTATTAGGAGTAATTTTAAATTATTTTATGCAAAATTAGATGAGACAATTCAAACAGTAGAATTTTAATTACGATGGTTAGACTCGTTAGGTATAATTAAATTTCAAAGAGCAGTGTTAAACTAGCATCAAGGAGTCATAGTAGCTTCGGTCTAGGTCAACAAAGTAAGTGGTCTTACTATTGATTCGGTTGGAAGACTTGTCTTATATATGATAACACGTGTCCAGTAGCCCTTACACGTGTCGTGTATGTTTATATGATATTATGATGTGTTATGATAATGATGTTGCAACGACCCTAGATTTTCTAGTAACCTAGAGTCGTTATCGTCATCATAACATAATCATTTTATGTGACAATAAGCGTTTAAACTTCATCGTAGAACATAAACTTCTTGTTTCTTTATAAAAGTAAAATTTTCATTACTATTTTAATCAAATTTCAATATGCATGAATGTGTCTAAATGTTTTAAATTTTACTAATTTTTCTTATTTTCCACATCGGTAAGTAACAGTCCATGGCTCGAGTCCCTAAAAAAAGTGGGTCGTTACAAATTGATATTAGAGCTCTAGGTTGATATATTTTGTAGACTGTCTAGATACTCAAGTCCCTCAAAAAGTGGGTTGTTACAAATTGGTATTAGAGCTCTAGGTTATAGATTTTGTAGACTATCTAGATAGAGTTCTAGAGTTCTTTATAGCCAGGCTCCACTATACCCCGCCGTGACGAAGTAAATGCAGTTAACATGAAACTCATATGAATTGATTTATTCATGTATCTCGATTCGCTATGGTTTAATCTTAATGGTTTACATGATTAGACAATTTGAGAATGAGTAAGTATGACACATAAACCGAACTTGTTTGGTAAATGATTGGTTACGATGACATAGAAGAGATTTTCCACTACTTGAGGTAGAGGCGAACAATCCAAGGGGCCAGCTCGGGGAACGTTGGCCAAGGAACTCTGGGACGAGGAACGCCTCAAGTCGAGGTACCTAGGCAAGAGATGTCCCTGCATCTATTAAGATAATGAGAAATGTAGTATCTTTATTTTCCATATTGCAATTAGTAGATACCTAAACCAATGAGAATTGCTGAGCAAGTCGGAGGAGATGGTCGTGGTAGTAGGAGTCCGAGACACTGACAGAGAGAAAACAAATGGACGTAGCACCATAGAACATGCACGTTAGAAGAGCTTCAAAAGTTCAACTTCCCTAGAATATGATGTATAGACTTAAAGATCAATGCTTTTCTCTAAGACCTAAGATTGTGAGTTCGATACGACACCTTGATGTCTAAGTATCACTTCATGGAAAGAATCGAGCCTAGCCTACCTATACCTAAAATCACCTAGTACCTCCTATCTTCCGCTACGCCTTGAGCTCCGTATTAATTTTATTCTTCCATTTAACCTAATAGTTTTAAGGAAATTTATAAACTAACTTAATCTATAAATCTTTTTTATTTGAAATTAATCCAACAAAAAAAAATATGATGAATTGAATTGTTCCAATTTTTTTAAGTTATCAAATTTAAAAAGGACTTGGAGCTAGAGCAGTGGACATAGAGATGTGCATGGGATAGGACGGGGACAGGAAGCCTTTCCCATCCCACCACCTATTTCATCTGCTGTCTCTACGAAAATTCCTCATTTATTCCTATAGGGATTGGATGGACTTCTCCTTACCCAAGGTTATATACTGTGAGCCGTTGTTGTTTCTCTCTTTCTTGTTTATATAACGTCTCTTTCAAAAATCTCTCCTTACCCTCGTTTTCTAAAACCTTCTCTTAAACCGAGGCCAGAGGCTCGAGCATACGTCACTTAGCTGTAGGGGATGCAAGAACAAATTGGCTTAGCTCACTTGTGGTTAGAAAGTGAGTGCCGCACAATCGCAAGTCCACGTGTCAAGATTATGTAATTTTTAGAAGTTTATTTTTATTTTTATTTTTTTAAAATTATTTGGAAATTTCATATTTCAATATAATATTTATTAAAAAAAGATAAAATAAATCTTAATAAATTTCTAAAATCCTAATAAATTTAAAATTTTTTGTGCTTTGAAAGATTTTCAAATTCAACTTTTTATTAAGAATTTTTAAAAACAATTTTTTTTAATTATGTCTACTTAATAAAGTTTTTAATAGGTCTAGTTAATCACTAAATTTAAATAAAATAAAAAATATATATAATAAATTAATATATTTAATAAGTACCAACATAATTTCTAAAAACTAAAAATTTATTGTTACAACCTTCTCTAATAATTAAAAATAATAATTAAAAAAATATAGAATGTAATTTTAGTTTAAATATTAAAATCAGAATCTTAAAATTAATTAATTAATTAATTTTTTAATATATCCATGTATAATTTATATGACTTGCCCGACTCCGTTCCCCATTCCATTGGAATTGTGGATCTCCACCCGATTTGGAGGGGTCCCTGGTGAAGTGGACATGTGGAAGTGAGATTATGATGCCAACATTGTGATGCCATCGTTGCAATTTGGAAACTGCAATTTATTCAACACATTCAATTCAGTTCAATCTCTGGTCAAATCAAATTCTGTCTCTCAGTTTCCCTCTCCATATGAACTGAATTCAACTGCGCATGAACGCAAGATTTCTGGTCTCTTCACCATATGGGAACCCTCTCCTTCCCAATTGCGTCCTCCAAACCCCGCCTGTTACCGTCTCGGAGCCGAATTGCATTTTCAAACCCTTCTCTTCAACCATCTTTCCCTTCTTCTGCGTTTTCCGTACCTAATTTTCCCAATCTCCACCTTCGGCGGCTTGTTCTCTGCGCCACAGCGGCAAATGATCATTCCAATCACGATGAACACCATCGTGTTCATAATCATCACCATGGTCACCACCATCACCATGGTCACCACCATTGCGATCATGATGCGGAGCTGACTGGGCCTCAGAGAGCGCTGATTGGATTCGCTAAAGCTATTAGATGGACGGACTTGGCGAATTATTTGAGGGAACATTTGCAATTATGTTGCTGCTCAATGGCTTTGTTTGTAGCTGCTGCTGTTTGCCCTTATTTGGTGCCGAAACCATTTGTGAAGCCTTGCCAAAATGCTCTCATTGCCATTGCTTTTCCTTTGGTCGGGGTATGGATCTCTTCCACTTCAACATTTTCTTCTTTTTGCAATTGCTTGAATGAATGTGATTGTTGTAAATTTAGTCCTGAATCCATTCTATATTTAAAACTTCTTGATGTTAATGTGGTTTTTATAATTCTGGAACTACTACGAGTTGTCAAGGTATAATAAACTGTTGATTTGGTACAGTTCTAACTCGAAAATTTGGGTGTTCACCTGGTGATGGTTCATATCAATTAATCGATTCACATGATTTAAGATGAAAGTACTGTTACGAGGACGAAAAGAGTGGAGATGGAAATGAAGCCTCAGTTTTACTTTTCTTTTCTTTTCCCCAAGCGTCTATTTTAAATTCTTTATCTATAAGACCTTTCTTTCTCCGGGGATAGCCTACCTTCCTTTTTGTTTCTCTATATATTATGATATTTCTTTATAAAAACTTGTTATGTATCTAATTTATGCCACTGCTTGTTAGGTCTCCTCATCCCTTGATGCTTTAACTGATATTAGTGGAGGAAAAGTAAACATCCATGTACTTATGGCTCTTGCAGCCTTTGCATCCATCTTTATGGGGAACGCCTTGGAAGGAGGGATATTGCTTGGCATGTTTAATTTGTCTCACATTGGTAAGAAATTCAATGCTAGCACAGCTGAATTACCTAGACTTGTTGTCGACCTTAACTTGACAATTTTAATGGTGATTGTAGCGGAAGAGTATTTTATAAGTCGTGCAATGATTGATGTCAAAGAGTTGAAGGAAAGTTATCCAGATTCTGCCCTTGTTTTAGATACAAATGAGGGTAAGCTTCCAAATATTGCAGATTTGTCCTACCAGAAGGTGCCTGTCCATGATGTACAAGTGGACTCCTATCTATTGGTTGGTGCTGGTGAGGTATGTGATTTCAAATTTTTGCCATTACGTTGAACAATTATCTAGAGAAAATGAATTAAGCACAATGCCTTCACAAGATACAAAAGCTGTATTTTTCTTTTTAGTTCTTATTTTCAAGCTTCAAATCTGATAATATGGCTTGTAATCTTTGTCATTGGATGTTGCTTTGAGAGAAGATGCACATTGGAGCTGATCTTACTGATTTAGATTGACATTGAGGCTACTCTTGACTATTCTTTTGAGGAAGTTGTTGGTTTGAGGGGAGCTAAACCTACCAATGACCGAAACCTGATACTGTGGAGTGACTATGGGTATGGGTGTATCAAGAAAGGGGATGGGATTGTGCAAACAACTGATCAAAGATTTGTTTATTCTACCCTTCGATGGTGCTGAGGGTATCCCTGGGAGCACAATGGCTATCCATGCTGGGTGGAGTTCGACCCAACTCTCATTAGCCACTCTGACCATAACTCAGATTCTCTGAGTGGTACAAAGCGGTGCATCCCTCGAGGCACAACGAGGTTAGTCTATCCCACACTGGACCTTCACGCTCCCCAACTGTCGGACATGGCTTAGGACTCACTTGACATACCTTGACAACTAGCTTTTGCATACTCTTGCCTGCATCTCTCAAGGCACAATGGGGTTGGGCTATCCCACACTAGACCCTCTCGTGCCCCTACTGTCAGACTTAGCCTAGGACTCACTTGATGTCCCATGACTATTAGCT